AGGAGTAAGCTAACTTAATCTGTAGATAGGATTAAGATAATCCCATATCCAAATACTGATTTGGATTGGGATAACTCCAAAATATGAGGTTTCTTAATCAATAAGAGAAAAAGAGGAGAAACCCTAAGAAAAAAATATCAGATTTCGAACCAAGGGTTTTTGTGGTGCAAGAAATTATCCTGCAAAAGAGATTATATCTCATACAGACTCCAGAGAGAAGAGAAGTAGTTCAGCCATCTTCGTCCCAAGAGTTCTCCTCCAGCCGCCGCCATTTCCCTCTTGCAAGATCTGATCTTTGTAGCAATAGGGAGTCAAGAAATCAATTCTTGACATCAGTCTTGCGAAAAAGACTGAGAAAGATTCAGTGTTCAGAGTTTCCAGAGGATTCTTGCGAATGATCTAGTGTGTAAGACGCACCCTGCTGGTTCCATTCCATCCACAGTTGTGTCATCTTCAGTAGGAGCGGATATTGGTTTCTTCTTTGGGCGTGAACACCAACTTTGGGAGATACTGTTTCTCCGGATCATGTATATTCCTCCATTTTGCTTTTTGGTTCAGATCTGGTTCGATTATGGTTCAAGTAGGATCCTTGAATATAGTATTCTAAATTTAGGGAATATGATTCCCAGTTGGAAGAAGATAGGAAAATTTTTTGAAATTCGCCTACCCATTCCGCAACCTTATTGGCGTCCATTAAATGTATCCTACCATTCTTTCAAAAAGATGGATTGGCTTAGCCCATCCCCCCTCCCCCCAAAATAAAGGAAAAGGTGCATAAACTTCCAAAAGATAAAAAAAACTTTTTAGCCTCATATCTCATTTTTTTGCTCTCTCAATTTATAAAAAATAAAAATAATATATATTCTATACAAAATATAACATTATGGATTGATACTTGATTTTATGATTTTGAAAATCAGATTGTATCGAATGGCCAAACTGTTAGACCCAAGAATCGGTCATGGGTTTGGGTCCGATTTTGGACACAAAAATCGTTTGATTAGGATTTAGAATGAATTGTCAAATTGCTTGACTTAAAGACTGGTTGTCAAAGTGGTTCCATTTTTAAATTGATTTTTAAAACCATAGTTGATATGTTATAAGGGGATGGTTAAAAAATGGCCAACCTCTAAATCATTTTTTAAAACATGTCATACAATATAAATATCTCCCTATTCTCATGACATACTTACAATATTATCATATTATCATGTCAAAATATGTCAATTTAACAAATGCATAGGTTTACTGACCTGATTAATGATTAGGTCGGTTATGGACCTATTATCAAAATTCACAACCTGTACAGGGTTTGGCTGAGGATTGGTTCTGCTTATTTATTTGTTCGCCGGGGTCTACACTGATTTCGACTGGACCTGACCAATTCACAGTATTACGTGTTCTGTTGTGTACTATGATGATTTGGATTAGACCTGAACCATTTTTTTGGTGAGTTCAGAATAACTAAGACTATTCCCAGCCTAATTATAAGTGGGATAAATAATGCAGACCTATATCCTATGCATTTCGGTCAATTTATTTTAGGTCTGCCCGATTTATTGTTGGACTTAACATCCATACCTAATAAGCTTAAGTGCCCGTTTGGGTATGTTTGTTCAAAAAACTCAATAAGCCCAAATATATTTTCATTCACATGGTCCCCTTGCGAGGGCTTCAGCTTTGTTTGAGCTGCTTTGGTTGAGTCATTTTGTACATAGAAAAGTTGATTTTTTGGTCATGAATGCGTTTTTTGTTGGTTTTATGGGCTTTTCATCAAACATGACTTGAGGGTTTATTGTATGGAACCTACCTTTCAATGCTACAGGTATTCAACCAAAACAAATGACTTTTTAGTAAAGCTCTTGTTCTAGGGAGTTTGGATCTGCTCCTCATAGAGCACGCCTCACAGCACGTTTCAGCTGTGCATCTAAAACATCTCTGTAATTATAAATTTTTATTCATGAAGAGATATTCTCAATGCATTGATGAAAGCCTGAAACATGCTGTGAGGTTGGTGTGAATCACCCTTTGTGATAAATATATTAGAAGTCTTTAGGCCCCATTTGTGAGCACTGTTTTAAAAGGTTTAAGCCTTGAGGCGAGGTGCACAGATTCTGCCTCAAGGCTTAAGCCTCACAAACTTGGTTTGATGCTTAAGCCTTTATCAGAATGAGGTGTAAGCCTCAAGCCTTGAGGCGTAAATTACATAAAGAGGCATAAGCCTTGAGTGCCAATATTATTTAGTCATTTCATGTAATAAATGCATATTTTTATGCATTTTTTATAGTTTAGAATACATAGAAAAAGCACTTCAAAAATTATGGGCCAAATAAAAGGAATAAAAATGAAAAGCCAAAGGGAAAATCACATTCTATTGGTTTTTCTTAGTATTTTAGCCTAAGAGTTGAATGCAGAAAAGGGCCAATCAAGTTACTAGTTTATATTAGATAAATCAATTTGATTTTTTTCCTTAATATTCTAATTTAATATCCCAAGTTTGTTATTTTTCTCATTTTTTCCTAATAGATTTATTTTTTATTGATTTTTTTTTGCATAGTTCAAATCAAGTAAATTGTTTTTTTCTTCCCAACTGTTAGATGACCATAAATGTAATGTCCATACAAGTAATTTTATAAGATTGCATTTTGAAACATAAAATGTAAAATTCTTATAATTCTTAGATGTTACTTTATTTAATGCTTAAAAGTTAAGACTTATTGATTATAAACTCATATTTTATGGATATTTGTACATTTCATCATTTTATCTTGGTATATTATATGTTATTTTTATCATTTATAAATTTTAATTATTTTTTTCCTTAAATTTTAATATTTACGGCTCACAACACCTTGAGACTTACACTTACCTTTTTGGGTCATTACGCCTCAATAATGCCTTTAGCCTTTTAAAACTTTGACTGTAAAGGCTTTTACATTGATTAAGCAGCTGTTCAACAGAAATAATCCAAGATAGCTTCATTTTTTTCAACTTTCCTTTTTTTTTTTTTTTCTATCAAATGTGGCTTAACAACTTTTTGGATTTCATAACAGACTCAACTATGTAATACGAATATTACCAAAAAAAAAAAAAACTATGTAATACGAAAGCCGCTGCACGAAAGGCATCTCAAATAGGTAATCGCTTGTTTAATCAAAACGGTTTGGCGAAAGCAGCTGAATCAAAAGCTGAAGCACTCCCAAACCGGCCTAATTGGGGCGATACAATTATACAAATCATATATTAACATCAGAGACTCAGAGCCAAGTATGCCAAAATCGGAAAAGATTCCTGGGTTAACTCGCTCAGGGTATTACCGTAATTAAACAAAACATATCGGGTTTATATTTTCGCAGTTCAGAACCCCACAATTCTCTTCCGCTCCTTCTGCCTCTCGCATAGTCGCAGATTCCTGCGCATCATCAACAACACGCGACGCGATACTGCAGAGGGTCTCAGTCTCTCAGACTCTCAGTATCTCATTGGCTGTGCGAGTTTTCTTTCGGAAAGTACACGTTTTGTTTTGCCATTCTCCAAAGCTGAACAGTCTAGCGTCCTGTACTCTGTAGTCTGTACTCCTCGGGGGCATATTCCGTAAATTTACCGTTGATTCAGGGTTATTTCTGTTGCCCCGTCGTCCTCTCCTGAGCTGTCTTCACTTTCTCTTTGGAAAGAATTCGGAGACCAATTGCTGCCAGTTTTAGGGTTTCTCTCCATAACACCTTTCGCAGTTCACTAGACGGTAATCCGAACGAGAATAGAGAAAGAACCAGGGTTTCTGTTATCTGAGGTTCGTTTATAGAGCCGCTGTAATGCGGCAAGGATGCCGGAGACGAATAGCCAGTCGCAGATGTATGGACGTGCTAACCGAATGCAATCCATGAATGTTCCGAACCGGATCGAAGCTGAGGACGGCAGTGCGGGTGGGGAATCCATCGACAATCCTCACATCCGCTACGAAGCTCACACGCTCGAAGACGGTGGTGTTGGGAGCACCGTTGAGGTAATGGACGCTGTCGAGGAAGTTCCTACGGATTCCGCCTTTCTCAGTACAGCCAATTTTGTTTTGCCTTCCCGGGGAGAGGGCATGGATCAGTTGACCCTCTCGTTTCAGGGCGAAGTCTATGTGTTTGATGCAGTTTCCCCAGAAAAGGTCTCATTTTTTGTAATGCAATTGGAAATAGTTTTCTTTTCTCGGTGGATCGAGATTTAAGTTGTGCATTCAGGGTTTAATGTTCGTCTACCTCTGCAGGTACAGGCGGTGTTGTTACTTTTGGGAGGGTACGAAGTACCTAGTGCCATGCCTGGTCTTGCAGCATCCCAGCCGCAGAAGGTATCCCTTCAGCCGTGAAATTTCTTCTAAATTGGTACTATTATTTTTATCATCATGCATGATGTTTTTACTTCTTATTTGGGGAATGCTTCCGTTCACTGCCTTACTGGTCTCCTGTTTCAGGGTTTGGTTGATTATCCACGGCGCTCAAGTCTTCCTCAGAGAGTTGCTTCTTTAAATAGGTTCCGTGAAAAGAGAAAGGAGCGATGCTTCGACAAGAAAATTCGTTATAATGTCCGAAAAGAAGTTGCCCTGAGGTGTGTAGATTGATATCTTGTTCTTCATTAAAAATTGTTCTCCATTCCTCCTTTGGTTTAATAAATAAATTTATAAGGATTATGATGAAAATACGCATAATATGAGGAAGATATTTTCCCATTATTTTTATCATCATGCATGGGTTAGCTTGTATTAAGATGATATTTGTCAAGCATTATCTTAAGGCTTTGTTGTGTTGAGTTAACAAAAATTAACTTGAGGAGTCAAGGGTGTTCATCGTGCTCCCTTATGCAAATGATAGTGTCATCTTCTTGCTTGTCCATTGGTTATGCTAGTTCACCAATAAAATCGACTAGGCTTGCCTAGCTGTCTATCGTTTTCTTTTTTCATGTTATTGACATTGTGCTTGCAAGAGAAGCTTTTATGGTGCTAATACACTGTGGTCATCATTCTATCCCTACAAGTGGATTTCCTGGAGCTGGAAGTCATGCATGGGGTTTGGATAAACCCCCTTACCTTTCTAGATTGAAAGAATAATACTTGTTATTTTTTAACTTTTCTTCTTATGTGTGGGAGGATGCTCACAGTTTTTTGTCATGTATATAAAAAGATTGCTCATTATCCTCATAACGATATATGTCAGGATTCAGGAGGAATGGAGTATATTAAGAACACAGTAGACATGCCAATGAGTTCCATGCAATTTTCTAGTGGTAATTAACTAGGGAAAAATGTACTTATGTTCCTTTATGGTTTCATAAAGTTCCTTAATGTTTAATTAGGCTAACAGTTAAATATCTGATTGATTCCTTACCCGGGTCATAAATATCTCGGTCAATTTCTTAACCTCTCCTATGATTTCCTTGGAGTTGAAAACTGAGTTTTTACTGCCCATGGTGCAGAGCTAAATGACACATGCTCTTGTCTCTTTAACATGAAGGAAAGATATCTGAGAATTTTTAACAGAGTTTCTGAACCTGCACATGTTGTGATCTGATAGAATCCATTAATCTGAGGTCCTTAAGTAAGGCCTTCATCATGCACAAACTACTTATGCATCCATGAAAGATACCCTTCCCATTTGCAGAAGGCCATGTGGTTCCACAACTAGCAGCAATCAAAGTTAAGCTTCAATGCTCCTAGAGGAAGGGAGAAAAACTCTGAGGAAATTATGTCTAATAGAATGGACTCTAACCACACGAAACCTTCTAGAAATCCTGTTGTCAGAAGACACAAAACAAAAGTTTCTAAGTTTCTGTTTTGCATGCAATCAATGTGCCTTGCATGTGGTAATGATGTCAACCAAAATTTCAGACGGATGTAACTTATAAAAAAAACAGATGGATGTATCTTGATTGAAAAGGATCTGGTGTTTCCCACTTCACAAATGCAACAAAATGTCTCTGTTCTATACTTCTATGTGACCTGTGATTTAAGGCCTTGTACCATAAAATGATAATAAATATATATTATGCCATAATATGAGGGAGTTAATAAAACCCTGAAAGGTTTGGTTTTGTATGTGATTCTTGATGGGCTAAATGATGAGCTGACCTAGATGTTACAGATCTGCTGAAACATTTTCATTCTTGTTTATTTATATATCTCATCACTACTACGACATGAAAAATTAAGCATGTAGTCAGTTCGCCTTTGAGCCCAGACTTGAAGACTTTAAATGTTATCCATATATGAAATCTGAGTAGTTGGGCACTTCTGACAGAGGGTCAATGCTCAACTATAGCAACAAACTAGGGGGCACTTTTAAGTTCTTAGAAGATAAACTTATATCATCATTAGTTCTTCTTAGAAAATATATATTCATTAGATCTTTAATAGATGATAAACTATGAATAATCTGAACCTCTCAAATGAACAAGATAGCCAGCAATTATTAGTCAAAGAAACAGAACAAAATTTTGTATTTCTTGTTCACTCTTTCTGTTTTATAAACTTAATTTGAATAGGTTAAGATATACAAATAATTTGGGTATAGGAGGGGTGCTGAGTGATAAGGACAGCAATATCTTAGCCTTGTTCCCTGGCCCCTTGGGAATAGGATACTCTAACAGAGCTGAACTGTTAGCAGCCGTACAAGGTATTCAGATAGGTTGCAGGTAAAACTATGTTGCAAGTGTGCATGGCTCTGAACCCTTACATAAAAGGGCCATGAGGGGTGAATATTGCATATACATAACATGTTGAAGCAGGGGTATTAACCCTGTAAAATTTTATCACAAGTTTCACAACACCATTCTTCTTGAGCCTTGCCCCAAAATTAATAGGCCTTTGGTACCTTTACAATTTGAAAAGCTGACATCTTTTATTTGACTGTTACAAATATGGAACCTTTTTTTTCCAAACTGGAATATAGTTTGGTTTCACTAGTCTTAGTTTTTCATCACCCTTTTATGTGTCAATATGTTGTAGTAACATTTAATCCCTTCTGCCATATGCATTTTTTTTTTTTACATTCATAAACCTGCCTAATATTTATTAGGGCAACATGGTGTTAAGACAATCTTAACACTCCATTTACTCATAGCCTACTTCCTGGGTTTTTTGTATCAACATGCATGATTCAATGATGTGCCTTACTAGCAATTATCATCCTAGATAGGTAGTGCCAAAGCTCTTAGGTTTGTAGCAAAAACCTGGATATTTTCAAGGCAAGATGTATGGTCCTTCATTAATGAACTCTATAATTGCTTTGCAGTTTCCACTGGTTGTCTACCCTAGGAGCTGGTCCTTCTTTCTTTTTTCGTTTGATTTTGTGGCTTTGTGCTTTGGTGATTGGATCATTAGAGTGGTGCGACTAAATGCAGAAAACATGGCATAAGAGTGGTAACAAATTTTACTTCTTCAACTTTGATGGAGGTCATTTCTAATCTACATGAAGGGAAGGATCATGTGGAGAACAACGAGGGCGGCTATCTTGTGGGCAGTGTGGGAAGAGAGAAATAGCAGGATTTTCCAAGGGAAAGAAAAATCAGCTCCTGAACTTATAGAAGGGATCACCATCAAGGCAATACATTGGCTGAAAACTCTTGACTTGTTCAAGGTTTTCTACTTCATCACTTACTATACAGGCAGTTTGGTCCCCTCCTTTGCAGTGTAATGTCTAACTAAACTTTGATGGCAGCTCTGTTGGGAACCCTAGCCTTCTGGAATAGGGGGTGTGTTTAGAGATGTGGGAGGAAAAATCCTGGCTATGTATTTTGGTCCAATAGGTTTGGGGACTTGGCGACTCGCTTAGAGCTGAAGTGTTGGCCCTCCTCCAGGGGCTCGGATTGGCTAAGCAATTGGGCTTTCAACAACTAGAAGTGGAGGGAGACTCAAAATTAGTAGTAGGTTGGCTGCACAAATAGTTTGGGAATGTGGTCCCTTAGGCAACCTATAAGGGAATTATTGAGCCTCACAAGGGAGCTGGGTGCACAAGTATTTTGGACTAGGAGGTCAACAAATGCTTTAGCTGACAACCTAGCAAAGCAAGGGGTGAATCGGGAGTTTTTGTTTTGGGCAGTGTTGTAATTTGAATTTTGTTCAGTGGTCACCTTACACTCTAGCAGGTGACAGTTGTATTTCTGGTTTTTTAGCTAATGAAAGCTACCGTTTCCTATAAAAAAATGAAGGCAATGGTTATTGAATGCATATTCTTTTTCAACCGGCTTTTGTAAGCTATAACTCCACAGAGGTTAGGCCTGGGCATCTCTGCTAGGTTTAATGATGCTTTAATTAATTTTGGGAGATAATCGAGTATGACTTGCTAACAATGAAAAAATGTTATTCCTTGGTAAGTGAGGGAATTGGACAATCAAGGCTTAGTAGGTGACTTGTATCCTCCAGTGCCTGCCCACACGGCGTCAAATCTGGTCAGGGATCTGCACTCATCTTCAGAACAGATTTGATTTAGTTAAACATCTATTCAGAGAAGCAGCCCACACCAGAGTATTTACCTTTGATGGGGAAAACGGGATTTGAAATTCTGGAAGCAGGAACTGCACCAATATTAATCTCTGATAGCTTGAGAGCAAATGATTTAACCGAAAAAGTCCATCTGCATTCCACTTTTGTTGTAAGCATTGATAGTTTTGCTTGGATTTTGGTGTTTTGTCATCTTATTGGTTTGGTTCGTTGCAAGCTTTTGTTAGTCCTCTTTTCCTGTGGTTTGGGACATTCTTCTGGAGTTTTTTTTTGGTGGTCATGCTGTTGAGGGTTTGGAGTTGGGTTTTTGGTAGAATGCTGAGTTGTTCTCTCTCTCTCTCTCTCTCCCTCCCTCCCTCCTCCTCTTCCTTTCAGGTGATCTCTTGTCACATTCCCTGTAATTTTCTTTTCTTTTAATATATTTTATTTTCCTTTAAAAAAAGAATTTAATGGTAAGATAAGTTTCTATTTAGGGGCTATTTGATAACAGCTGAAATGACTGAACTAAATGGCTTATTGCTTTGTCTTTTAGTGAATACATTATTTAATAGGTTGTAAGCTCTTTAATGGCTGAAGAAGTGAAGATGAAGGTGGGTTAATTGATATACCACCAAACATTTTATTATTTGATTGCTTCATCCACTAAAAGACAAAAAACACGTCATCCAGTTCAGCCACTTCAGTAGTTATCAGGTGGTGCCTTAGTATGTGAATTGGGATTTAAATTGTGTGTTGTAAAGATGCATCTGAAGTAAGTGCTTTTGTAAAGATATGCACACACAATTTAAATCCCAATGCACAATTTAAGTACTTCAGGTGGTGCCTTAGAGATGGAACATATCTTGCAATGAAGTTGAAATTGCAGAAGAAAGTTTCACGGTGAAATTGTTGGGGCTTTCTTTCAACTTGTGGAATGGAACGATGCTTACAAGGATCGTTGGGAGCATGGGTGGAACTCTTGAAAGTTTTGATGCGAGCGAGTTGCATGCGGTAAAAGTTAGGATCGTCGGTTTGAAACTGGAGGATATTCCAAGATCTTTGGATCTCTATGTCGGTGGATTGTGGAGGAAGATTTGGCTGGTGGTAGACGTAGAGGTGGCTTTGTGGAACCATC